GAGAGAGAGAGAGAGAGAGAGAGAGAGAGAGAGAGAGAGGAGGGAGAAGATCCTCTACTGGCCACAGGAATGGGGTTGTGGTCATGAAGAGCTCCCATTCTGTTCACATACAGACTTTGCCTTTATAAAGTACTTAGCACATTCCAAAGAATTCTCACATCCATTTTCACAGTCAAACATCTCAAATGTGCTATCATGTCAAAAGAACAGGGATTAGCATCCCTATTGTGCAGATGAAGAAACTGAGGGTCAGAACACAATGTGGTTGACACACTGTGGTCTCTGTGCAGCCTCTCACCATTGGGGCAAAACAGAAATGGCAAGAACTCTAGATTCTTTGGCCCTGAAACTGGATGGTGGCCAGGAAGGCAGCAGTTCTTGGATTCAGCAAACCCTATTGACCCATGGGGCTGTCAGAGCTAGAAGGGAGCTAAGAGATCATCAAGGTCAATTCCTCATTTCATGGAGGAGAAAACTGAGGCATAAAAAGGAGTCATGACTTGCCCAAGGTCCCACAACTAGTAAGGGGCAGAACAGGGTCTTAAATTTAACTTTACTTAAACTTAACTTAAACAGGGTCAGTCTCCTGACCCAAAGTTCTGTTCTAACTGGCTCCTGATTTCAACTTTCCTGCTTCAGGGCTATTAGAACAGGTCTGACTGGGCCGGGTCATGGGGAGCCAGACATGACTAGTCATGGCGTAGGATCCCAGGCTTTAATTGCCCAAGGAATGGCTTAGAGGAGTCATAGGAGATGAAGTAATAGTCTCTTAAAAGGGTAATGAAGGAAGTCATGAACTTCTCTGAAATTGAAGGATTCTCAATGTTAACCTCCATGGTTAGTTGAAAATGAAAGCACACCCTGAAAGACACTGGGCCCAGGGAATGTACATTGAATAAGGTGATTATGCTTCCCAATTTATCACCTCACCTGCCACTTTTCATATATTGGATAAGCCTAAGATCCTTAGGATCCAAGTCCCCTATACTAATACCCTCCCTCATTTCCCGAACAGGAACTTCCAGGCTTTCAAATATCACTCACGTTTTCAATTCCAAGACCATTCCAAGAGGGATTGTTACAAAAAGTCGGTGTCCATCAGGAGACTGTTCTAGGCCAAGTTCCAAGAGGACAGGATTGGAGACATTGATCCTGCACAGAGAGCCACATTGAAAAGGAACTCCTCCAAATCTATATCCTTTAGAGTATGAACCACACCTTGAACAGCAAATCAAACCATTCCCGAACACCAATCATTTCTCAGTTGAGAGAAAGGGGCTAGAGAGATTGGGATGGTATTTTCAAGCAAAGGTTCCATAAATTATGAACCTTGGCATTGGCTTTCAGCTGGAACCCTACTCAGTAGAATCCACTAGCTCCCTATTGCTTCTAGAATCAAAATACAAGCTCCTCTGTTTATCTTTATAGGTCCTTCACAACCTAACCCCAACTTAGCTTTCCAACTCTTTGGTTCAGCTAAGAGTACTTTCTTACTATTCCTCACACATAACAGTTCATCTCTCATCTCTACACTTACACTGGCTATTCACCATGCCTGGCATGCTCTCCCATCTCACCTCCACCTCCCACAATCCCTTGTTTCCTTCAAAAGTCTATTCAAGTGACCTTTCTTAATTCTAGTGACTTCTTTCTTCTAACTCTTTCTTTCTTGGTTTTACATATTTGTTTGCTTGTTATCTCCCCTGTTAGATTGTGATCTCCTTGAGGGCAGGGACTGTTTTTTGCCTCTTTTTGTATTCTCACCACTTAGCATAGTATCTGGCACATAGTGGGCTCTTAATAAATGTTTATTGACTGATTTTCTCTATGAAACCTTTTCCCTCCTAACTACTAGTGTCTTCCCCATCCTACCCCCACCCCCTGCCAAAAAACATTACATATTTTGGAGTATAGCAAAAGTCTAAACTCTACAAATTTACCAATATAAATAAGTATATCTAAACAATTTACTTTGCATATATTTATTCACGTATATGTTGTCTCACCCCATGGATTGTAAGTTCATCAAGAGTAAGAATGATATCATTTTTGTCTTTGTATCTTCAGTGCCTAGCACAGTGCCTGGCACATAGTAAGAGCTTAATAAATGCTCATTTATTGATATCCTGACTAATTAATACCATTGCCTAATGTTTAATTGGAAATGCAGGGGGGGGGGATCTTGTAACCAAGGGACATACTTATACCCACACCCAACACCTAATCTAAGGACTTTCTTGTAGGTCCAAAGAATTTTAGAGTTGAAAGTTACCTTAAAGATCATTTAGCCCAACTCCCTCATTTTACAGATGGAGAAACTGAGACCCAGAGAGGTTAAAAATGGTTTGCCCAGAGTCACTCAGTAAGTCAGTAGCAAAGAATCAGAGAAAAATCTCAGGTCTTCCCTCTCCAAAATCAAATACTCTTTATAGTTATACTACTCTCTCTCAAGTTAGACCTATTGGTTCTCAGTTCTCCCTCTCTAACTACCAGAAGATGAAAAACTTCTCAACCTTCTCTGCCAGCTGTGCCAGTAAAAAGTGAAAAGATCCTCCCAACCTCCCCTCATGCCCTTTTTAGCCCCCTTCCTTCATGGATATTGGGAATTCTGTCCCTGACAAGGACCTTCTCATTTCCTTATTCAAGTTTAAGGCTAATAACACATCAAGGAGACTCACGAAATTATATTCTTCAGCCCTGGAATTATCGAGGTTAGTTTAGGTAGTAAGCCTCCAATGAGGCCTCCTGATGAAACTCCCACAGTTTTCAGGTTATCCAAGATGGGGAGATTGTGGAGAATATCAAGCAAGTTTGAGTTGAGAAGTCTATTTGTGAGACCTGGAATGGAATGAAAGGATTTAGAGCTGGAAGGTACCTGAGACTTCATTTAGACCAAACCCTTCATTTTACAGAGGAAGAAATTTGAGATGTGATTTGCCCAAGTACATGTTGGTAACAATTGACAGAGCAGGGACTCAAACCCAATTCTCTGACTACATGTCCAGGGCTCTTTCCACTAAACTTTATTTAGTGTTAAGTGGTCAGTCACACTTTGGGTTGACTTTAGGTTACTATTTTACACAAAGTGCAAGGCCCTCCATAAAGCTCAAAGATTAGCATGTCCAATAAGGAAGGGCTTGAAGGATCTGCTTTGATCCTTTGATATACTCACATCTTTGGGCATTCCCCATCTTCCAAATGTAGCCTCCTTTTCCATCTCACCTGGTCACTACCCTCACTTCCCCAAAACACTTAGGCCCATTTCAATCCCTATAAGGAAAGTCTTTACAATCAGTCAGAATGTCTTAAGGCAGAATAGGCTTCACTGGATGTCAGGAATTTCCTTTCCCTTGGATACTAGAGAAGGGATTCATACTTCAGGGCATTGTGTTTTCTCTCCATAGCAATTGCCCAGTGAGAGGGTAACTTACCACCTAATAAACCTGAGAGGAGATCTGGTGAGGTAAGGGATAGAGCAGTGCTCAGGTCACTAGCAGAATCCACAGGGATGGCTTCAAGTTGGGCCGAACTCTGTGTGAGCAGGCCATAGAAGAGAATGAGGCCCCAAATCTGAAGCATCTTTGCTCCTGATTTGTAGGAAGAACAAAGAGTCAACATGAATCAGACCAGAGACAGGCACCAGCAGCCTCCTGGGGTCATGAGGTCTGTGCCCCACACATAATTTCTGTTTTGCTACATCATTTGTGAAGGAGTCCCTTGAAAAATCTCAGCTTTTCTTGAATTCCTATTTTTGGCCTGTGCAAAGCCTCAAGGCTCAGATTTCCATGTTTCTTCTTTGGTACCAATTTCATTAGCTTTGTGCTAAAACTGCTTCCGTAATCTTGCACAGGTTTCCCTCAAGCATTTGGGAGTGCCAGGCTCCTTTTGGGCCTTCTCAACTTCTACTAGTCTCCTATGAAGTGGCGTGACCAGAGGGGCACTTAGAATGGTGTAGTAGAAAGAATATGGAGCCCATGGCAGTCAGGAACCCTGGGTTCTAGCCCCAGGTCTGCCATTCAAGATGTCTATTTTATAATCCTAAGAGCCATTATAGCCCTGACATTCAATGTTCTTTGTAGAAGGTTCATTTTCAATCTAATATTCAATGATTCTAAGTGCTATTATTTCTTAGGCTTGGACAGATATTGGAAAACCCCATCATAGATTCAAGAATTTGGCTGTTTCTAGCACTTTTCTGAAGATACTCAGCACCTAGTTAGGCTTCAGTCAAAACAGTCAATCGGGTAGTCCTGAATAGAGATTAACATCAATTTGTATTGAAATCATCCTATTAAAGGTATACTCAACTTAATGGTTTCATCATTTACCTCTACGATCCTATCATTACTATCACTTCGAGATTTCCTGTTTCTAGAGTGAGGGTTCTTAATGTGGAGTCTGTGAATTTTTTTTTTCAGTATTTCAGTAACTGTATTTTTCTATAATTGGTTTCCTTTGGAATTCTATGTATTTTATTTTAAGCACTTGAAAACATTACTCTGAGGAGGAGTCCATAAGCTTCGGCAGATTGCCAAAGAGATCCATGATACACACGAAAAAAGTTAAGAACCTCTGATCTAGAGTTATAGAATGTGTCAACTGAAAGGGAAATGAGTACAAAATGTCAGCACTGGAAGAAACCTTGGGGACCATCTAGTTCAACCTCTTCATTTTACAGAGGAAGAAAATGAGGTCCAGCATAAGTAAAGGACTTGACCAAGGCTGCCCAGATAGTTAATTTTATCATTTATAAAGCAATATCATTGGTCTAGTGGCAGTGGCTAGACTGTCTGTCTATCTATCTATCATATATTTATGTGTATTTGTATATATATATGTATATATATANATCATTTATAAAGCAATATCATTGGTCTAGTGGCAGTGGCTAGACTGTCTGTCTATCTATCATATATTTATGTGTATTTGTATATATATATGTGTGTGTGTGTGTGTGTGTGTGTGTGTGTGTGTACCTGTATGTGTGTGCATATTCACATGCATACACATACATATCTGTGTGTATATGCTAGATAGACTGACCTGGCTTCAAGTCAGTGTCTCTGTCACATACTGAACATTTGTTATCTCCCTACTCATCTAAACGATTCTCTAAGACTATCGGTTGCTGACCTGTATTAGTAGAGGGAATTTCTTCATCTGTCAGTTTCCTATATCAGTGAATTCACAGATCCACTTCCTATCCTGTTATTGGTTTATTGAACCAATCAAACAAATGTACATTTGCACAGAGATTCATCAGTCCTGTTTGATTTTAAAATAAGCTCACTCAGCTATACCTTGGATAATTAGTCAAAGTCCTTGAGGAAAGCTGCTTTATTCACCTAATTCTTTAACCTAGGAGCAGAGGCTTGCAGGGATTTGAGGGAAGCAGGTCTTTGAAGGTTTTTTCAAGCATGGGAAGAGCAAAGAAGCTTCTTGTCCTACCTCCAAGGAAAGATGGAGCTGGAATGGTTGGCCTTACCTGGATCTCTCAGAGGTGTCTCAGCAGGGATGAACGCTCAGCTACTCTGACTCCTCCTTCCACCTCTGCTGAGAAGAGGGATTTTATGTAGCAAAACTTGACAGAAGAATCAGGAAATGAAGAATATGATGACAGATTTCAAGAAAGAAGCATGAAATATCACAATTGTAGTATTTCTCACTGTCCTCCAAAGTCAATAATTGCTGATTACACTTGGGGGTGGGGGTGGAGATGAGGGAAGGGGGTGCAGCACATAAGCCAAATCAGAGACAAATTAAACAGAAGCAAATCTGAGCCAGAAATGTTACTCAAGACTTGAAGCTTTAATGAATAGGGTTCAGACAAGGGATCCCTACTGCATGTGGTTTTCCTGAACTAGAGGATCAGGCTTAAGATACCCAGAGAAGAAGGCAGTAAGACTTGTCCTCTCTCTCTTAAATACCTTGGTATTTACTTTGTATTTATTCAGCATTTGCTTACATATGCACGTATTGTCTCCTCTGATAGATTACAATCTTCCTGAGAGTGGGAAATATTTGGTTTTTGTCTTTGTATTCTAGTATCACTGAGCACAGTGTCTGACACATATTGGGTACTTAATAAATGCTTGCTGATCGACTTGGTGGAAAGATCTCAACTCAGAAACAGAGGCCTTGTTTTATATTCAGTCCCAGTCATCATTCTCATCATAGAATCAAATTCTAGAAGACATATTTTTTTTTACAGATGAGGAAACTGAGGACCAGAATGGAGGGGGAGAAGGAGTTGGCACAGGGCACACAGGCAGGCATTTGCAAGGCCAGAATAGGAAACCAGACCCATTAACCTCCACATCTGGTACTCTTCTCACTGCATCGGGGCTTTATTCATTAAGGGCAGAGAGGGCATTACCTTCTCTTCTAACTGGAGAATTGAATTTAATTAAATTAAACTTATATTTATTAAGCACCTAATATATGCAAGATACTGTCCTAGGCTTTAAATGCATGTGCTATGAGGAAAAAAAAACTCCTTTTGGGGCCTGGGTTTGTGGATAGTTGTGGGGGGAATCCTTCAAGGTTCTTTCCTGGGNACCTAATATATGCAAGATACTGTCCTAGGCTTTAAATGCATGTGCTATGAGGAAAAAAAAAACTCCTTTTGGGGCCTGGGTTTGTGGATAGTTGTGGGAGGAATCCTTCAAGGTTCTTTCCTGGA